GGCGCCCCCGGGGGCTGGTTCAGGCGGGAAAGTAGGCTCGCGACATAAAAGGGGCTTCGGCAAACGGGCACGTGACTCATTAGGTTAAGAATCGTGAGCTTCAGTCGAGTGTGTTTATCGACACACGTGTGAAGGAAAAAACCAAGATGGAACAAAACCGTACTTTATTTGCAATTTTTTAAGAAAATGCAGGTTATACGGGGTTAGTAATAGAAATCATCGCCATGGGTTCTATTTAGTGTTCGGTGAGGTGTATTTTGTCATAGGTTATATTTTCGGTTGTCTTTTAAAAGTAATTATTTTTTTACTCTGGGCTGTTAACAAGAATCGCAGTGTGTCAGAGGAAAAGACGGAGCGCGACACGGTCACAGCGGTGCTCGCCGGAATTGGCGGCGGCGTTTGGCCGGTGGCACCCCGAGCGTGCTCTCTGGTCCGTGGGGACGCGCGTCCCACGCGTTCGGGGCGTCTGCGCCGCTTGCTCCGCGTGTTCTGGGCGAACAGGACACTTGGCGAGGAGCAGCGCAGTCCCGCAGCCCCGCAGCCCCGCAGCACTGGCTCCGCTGCCCTCTGGCAGGCGACGTGACGCGCCGGCCGTCCCTGCCTCTGGAGCTGAACACTCGTGCTGCTGTTCAGCCTCAGGGTAGCTGTTTGGTGGCTTCGCCCTTGTCCCTGTCAGACACTCGATGGCGCTGGAGGCCTCGCTCTTGCTGACACGAGCTTCACCTCGTCGCTTTGCTCGCCTTTCGCCAGCGCCCCCAAGGGCGGCCCACGCGTCGGGTCCGCGTCTGTGTTTCGCGCTGGGTTTGGAGTCACCGCCGCTGTGTCCTCCATGCGGTTCCGGTCGCCCGCACTCTCCTCGTCCCTCCACTCGGTCAGCGGCTTCTCCTCGGTCCCCGGCGCCGCTCCTTGTCCGTGTCCATTTCTCCTTCCCACGCGAGCGCCTCAGGCCTCGGTCCCTGCACCGCTGCGTTCACCTGTCCTCGGTCATCCGCCTGTCGCTTGGCTTCCGTTACCATCGGTGTGCTGCCGACCTGCCCTCTGACCTCCGGCCTTCTGGACCCAGCGTCTCGTAGACGTTCCCACGCGAGTGTCACAGGCGTCCTGCACATATCTCGACCGACGTCCCCTGGAGACCTCGTTCCCCGGTCCTGCTGCTGCACAGTGGCCCCCCGTCTGGGCGGCAGACCCTTCCCCCAGGCGCTCGGGCCAGTTCCTGGGGTCTTTCTCGACTTCCGCGGGGATCCCTTCCGCAGCGCTGTCATCCCTCGCTTTCGAGCCCCTCCGCACCTGCGCCGTCACCGCCCTGCTCTGAGCGGTGTCCCCGGGTAGGTTTGCAGCCGGTCCCTGAGCAGCCTCAGCGCCCCATCTCTGGCCTCGCTTGAGGACGTGCGCCCAGAGTCCCCAGTGGCGTCGGTTTCATTGTGAAGAGCCGGTCTTCCCGGGGCCCCTCGGTACCCCGAGCCGGCTCCTCTCCTGCGGCCTCCCTGCAGCTCCGCCGGGCGCTGTGTCTCCACCTGCCCCACGCGCGTGCGCAGTTCCCCTCCGCCGCCTGTCCCTCAGGTCGTCACCGGGCACCCCCTCGTGGGAACCTGGTGAGCGCGGCCGCCTGTCCCCCTCCTGCTCTCTCTCGGCCCCCAGCGCGGTCCCCTGTGCGTCCTGCTCTGCTGTCCGCGTGGCCTGTCCTGTCCCTGCCCTGGCGCAGCAGCGCCGCGGGCCGCAGCTGTGCGGTCTTCCTTCCTCTGCGCCCCGATCCCGCGGCGCCAGACGCGCGGCGGGTCGGCTGAGCAAGCGGCACATGCAAAGCTGGGGGTCGTCATCGTCACCGTAGAAGTGAGGAGGGAAGGAGAAGCGGCATTGGTGGCGGGCCACAAGGACAGTGTCCAGGCCTGCCCCCGGACCGGCCGGCGGAGGGCTGCGGGGCCGGGCACACTGGGTGTCACGACGAGGCACAAACACGGTGACTCTCCCCTGTTGATGAGCCGGAATACGAGCCCCCTGAGGAGTAGCCCGACAAAGCCCCATTACAGCAGCTGAGGAAGAAAACCCTTTGTAACTCCTGCCCAGGATGACGAGGGCACGTGTGTCATTAGCATGTGTAAGTGTTTAGGTCATGCAGCATTAATTGAAATAATTAGCTCCCGTGCGTGTGCGTGCGCGCGCGTGGGCGCGTGTGCCTGTGTGTCGCCCATGGGTGTACTGGGTCGCTTTAGAAGTACCGTAATGAATAGGAATTCTTTTTTGTTGTTTAAGTTCAAAACCTCCACAGTTCCTTTAATGTAATTTATTTAGAAATATTATAGCCTTTGAACTTAATGATTTGATTGAATTTTGTTAGGTACTATTTTCATCTTCACGATGAAACGTTAGTATGTCACTTTTGGTAGCAATTACTTTCCTGCTTGATTCGAATCTCTTTTTAAAGCCTCGGTCCACCGAAGCTTGCGTTAGTTCTTTACTCTTAAGCGCGCAGAGGATGTACTTGTTTCATCGTCGCGTGTCAGGTTGTAATTCCTCAGCATTCTGAAAAGTAAAGGATTTTTAACAAGCAGCATATCCACTTCTCACGGACCTTAGTGACCTGTTAGAAGCATTTTTCATCACCAGTCCTCATATCTTGCTCTTTACGACTGAGGTGTTTGCCAGGCTGTGTCACGAGGGTTTCAGGGTTCAGGGTGGTTGCTTTAGAGGGTCGGCATGCTGTCCGAGGCGTTTCCCAGCATCGCTGGCAAGACGGTTTGCTGATTGGGTCGACATCGGATGTCGTGATGGTGTGAGGGAGCTCACGTCAGACTGTCCCTCGCGTCAGACTGTCCCTCACGTTAGCAATATCGTGGTCGTGGTGGCTCTGCAGGGGCTCTTCCGTAGTTTCCTGTTCACTGTTGGTTGTATCAGTGATGAGAAAATTTGTCGGGCTTAGACAGCCGAAGGGGATCAGATGTCAGCTTCCATCAAGAGCATACGTGGCAACAGTCAGCGACACTGGACGACTCCTTTGGTCATTCTGTGATAGAAGAAAGTTAGCAATATCGTGACTCCTGAGCTGACAGAAAAGGATATTAATTCTACTAGTAATAACTAAATGATTTCCTTCTAGTAAGATATCAACATTTGGGCCCAAGAGTTTGAAACTGTGAGAGAGACCTTGTTATAGTTTATTCAGCTTTTTCAGTTGTATAATCACTTTCAAGACAATAAAATGTGGCCTAAACAGATTATTTGTTGCAAGGTGAAATGATTGGCTGAAGGGATGTAAGTTGATAATATTAGTAGATGAGGAATATTTTGGAATAACAACCTATAAAATGATTTTGAGTCGAGTATCATATTCTCCGAAAATTAGAGCGCTCGCTCCATAATAAATGTTGGAAATTCGTTAGCAGA